AGCAGCAAAGCATGCACAGATCAGCATCACACAAACACTCCATCTTGGCATGTTTAAACACGCATTTGACATGACTCAGCGTAATCCACCAGTGGAAAACACACTCCTCTGAGACTGGAGGGTTGCGTGCGACAGGCTAACAAAAAAAAAGAAGAAGAAAAAGAAAGAGAGCACAGCAACAGACATTCAAGCAAATGTGGAGCAGAGGGCAGAGGGAGTAAAGGGTGCAAAAAACGCTGATGTAAAAGAGAGAGAATGGAGCAGAGCAAAGAGGGGCGGAAACAGAGCAAGTGATTATAATGATTTTTTATTTTACTGTAAAGAGACACTAGAGTGGATTCAGATCTAAAATATAATGATTTTGTAAGAAAAATGATCTGAACATCATGATGACCCTTTCTATCTTGGTAAACTTGTGGAAATACCCAATCTTTTTTTTTTTTTTTGCTCCCCTGTCTCCCATCGCACATTCCCTCTTCATTGCCATGGCAATGATGTTACAGTGAGTCACCTCCACATCTCCCTCTTCCTCCTCTTCCTCCTCTTCCTCCTCGTCCTCCTCCACACAGCCAAGGAGGAACATGGGAGCGAGATAGGGAGACAGAGAGATGTGGACAAAGAAGACGAGAGAGAGAGAAAGACAAACGGAGCGACAGAGAGAGGGAGAGAGAGAGAGAGAGGAAGAGAGGGAGAGAGAGAGAGAGAGAGAGAGAGAGAGAGAGAGAGAGAGCTGGGGGTGCAGTTTCCGTGGAAACAAGAGCGTGGGGGTCTCTCCCCAAACCCCATTGGTTCCCTGCCAGGTGGAATCAGCTTGCTTCCCACAACATATGCAGCCAACAGAGTTACTGTTTCTGGGTCTCTGTCCACGCTCCTTGTTTCTGCAAATGTTTGCAGATAGGAAAAAGAAATGGTCAAAATTTAGTTTTCTCTTTCATTCTGCAAATTTCTAGTGCTGGTTTTATTCAGTTCCCCCCTGAACAAATAACACCATTCCCAAAAAGAAATTTCTTTAGGATAATGCCGCTTTCCAGAACAAGATTTGCAACTCTTTAAGCATTGTTTAATGATACATTACAACCCAAAAAAAAAAAAAAAAAGCAAAGTGCCAGTTCTTCATTTTGGAAATTCAGAGACTATACCACAATTTGCTCCTCTAGCCTCCCAATAGCAATGTGAACTGATCCTGCAGGGGTTGGAGCATATTCCATCCTTTTACCTCTCGGTTGTTATGTAAATACGAAAAACAATTTCCATGTGTGAGAAGAAGATTATGAATTTAGGATGTATGAGCATGAAAAAACATCATTTTCATCAAAGCCTGATGCTCTCGGCAATCGCTCTTGATCTCCTCTTCTCCTCCGACTGTGATGCGTCTGCCGTCTCCCATAGTGATACCACACAATGACAACGGGTCCCTCCATCCCTGGTATAATACGCCTCCTTATAACTCTGCTGTCAGTCTGCAGCACACTTCATGTCTGCCTCTTCTCAGCTTCATCCACCTCTTTCTTTGTTCTGCTTCTTTGTCCGGGAGGCCAAAGTCGGACTTTCACTGTTGCTGTTTTTACAAGTAAAGAACTTCCCAAAACTCTCGAGATGCATTGATCAAGCTTAAAATGGTAAATGCTAAATAACAGTTTTTTTTTACTTACTCATGTAAAAATTATTGTAAATTAATTTGTCCGTCACTCTTATTGTGTATTCATTTATTCATCAGCTCTTAAAATCAAGTCGACTGAAGTAGCTTACATTTTGCTTTCCAGAATTTTCTAGGAACTTATCTCATGTTTACACTCCAAAAAAAAAAAAAAAAAAAAAACCTCCACAGTTTGATGCCAGGCGACGTGGCAAAAGATCTCCACAAGTACTTTTCACTCACAACAATCACTTTCTCCAACCTCCGACTTGCTTCAGTTACTGGACGTCCTTATCTGGAGGCCACACGGCAAAACCGGTATGACTGTCAGATACTGATAATCTGCTGAAATCAGGTGGAAGAACTGTTTCTCAGTGGAACTCGTTAGCAGTCATTGGCCCCACCGACACTTTTTGCACCTGGATCTTAAGAATTAATGTTGACTGTGAGAAATGTGTACTGGTGGAAATGTACTACATGCTCCTCAGTCGAGCACATAAATACACACAACAATACGTTTTCAAATCAAGAAAGAAATTATCCGAAGCAAATGAATCTGGAGTTCTGCTGAAAGTTGTACAAAGACGGAAACAAACTGAAAGGCTTAGATCACACATGAAGTTATTACTAATGGTCATCCTGCCAGGAGGGTCTTTCAGCTAGAATACAAGGTCTTGCAAAGTCTTTATAATTTCTCATCATTTTCTCATTCTGTAATATAGTAAACTGTGCTGCTACCGAATTCTGTAAAGTGTGATTTGCATACGTTTCATTCCTTTTTATTATAATGTTCATAAATAAAATCAAGTCCAAATAACTACCTTCAAATGTAACATGTTTGATGATGTTTGTAATTTGAACTGTGGTAAGTATAAAGCAGCTTCTGCTTAGGCCTCAGAGATTTGTCAGAGAAAACATTAGTGAGATAAATAGAATAACTAATATGGAGGAACGTTTTGAAGAAGATTTACAGAGGATTAGGTCATAAAACCTGCATCTCTATTTTTAAATACCTCACAAGCACTTTGCATTCCACCAAATGAAAACAGAAAGAGCGTGGCACTTGCAAACAGCCAAAATATGGTCATCAATCTCAGGACAGGAACATTTCTCTGCAGAAAACCATCAACAGTAACTGTTGAGGAGCTGAAAGGATCCATCAGTCTGGTGGGGAAACTGATAGGTCAACTATTAGTTGTACACTTCAAGAATCTGACCTTTGGCCTTCAGAGGAGAGTCAACAAGAAAGCCATTAGTGAAAGAAAGTCAGAAAGAGACCAGCTGAAAGTTTACAAAAAGCCACATTGTGGCCACAGCACACGAACATGCTCTCGTCAGTCTAAAGCAGAAGGGAAGATGAAACTCAAAGTAATCCTTAGAAGCTGCAGAAAACTTGAGACCATGAAAACATTAACCCTGCAGAGGGACAAAGTCTTAAAAACACAGACTGGTTAATAAAATGGCCCTGTCAAAGTCCAGGCCTAAATCCACCTGAGAATCCGTGGCAAGTTGATGTGCAGAGATGCTCTCAACCTAATCTGAATAATTTGAATTCAGCTTACAATTACGCTCTACTTTGTGGTGTTGGTCTTCCACATAAAACCCAAGTAAATACTTGAAGGTTTGTCGTTTTAAAGATGAAATGCTTTTGGTACTACATGTACAGATTTCAAAATAACACATCACCTATTCATCACTGAAGCTGTGCTCAGTTTTAGTCATTAAGAGTCTAAAACTAAGCTTTGTGTCTCATTCCGTGGAGTTAGATTTTGACTTTTGCCATTTCCGGGGCAAAATTTAAAAATAACTTGTTTTTATGCCTACACTGGCCAGAGCAAATGGAAATTGCTCATTTAGTATTGAGTACACAATTTACAAAGCACTTAACCGAACTGTAAACGGCCTTTCTGATGTCTGCAGAGCCTTGTTCCAGGACAGAAATCAATAACATTTCTTCTGCTTTTTTTTTCATCTGACTTTTCTATTTCTTCTCTTTTAACATTAGACTAACGTCCCAGAAGGCTCAAACCTATGTTTGACCAATCTCCAAGAAGTAAACAGATGAGATAAAAATCCAAATGAAACTCCTCTCCAGGACAAACTCAGAAACCCAATCACAGAAGCAATAGATGGTTAAAAGTGGGATAAATGAAACTGACGACGGTGGAATAATTTCATCACTTGTGAAATAGAAAGGAACAAAAGAGCAATTCATGTGAGCTTCTCCCAAGAATTAATTAGGATTTTGCTCTTTAATTAGTAATCTGAAAATAATCACTAAAACAAATGTCTGGTAGACATTTGTTTTAGTCTCTATTTGTTTTGTTGATAGACTGACAGGGAGACAAAATCTGAACCAATGTTTGCTTCTGCTTTCCTCTGAACTTCCGCAGTAGGTGTCCACTCCTGGTTTAAGTGAGGGACGGATGCGAGCCAAGTCAGTCTGACTTGGATGTGCGACACGCTGCAGCACTGAAACAGTTCATCGAATGTGACTTTGCTCTAATTGCAATTGTGCTAATTGTAATGTCCCTGTTACATCCTGGTAGTGAATGTAAGAATAAGACACTGCTGATGGCCTTTTCTATTGATTTGAAGATGCACTGATATATCCCCAGTGACATCTTTTTAAATTAGGCTGACTCTAATCAGAAAGTTAAAACCTTTATAGTATTATCAGATTGAATCAGTTGTTTTTGTTTGTCGTCTCCCTATTCTTGTTAACCATACCAGTTACCAGTGCTCCTCTGCTTTTCTGCACAGGATGTTTGTTTCACAGGGCTGAGGTTATGCTGCCCTCCAACCTTAATTCCCAGAGCCAGAATGACATCATCATATCGCTTCCTCATTCAAAGAGTGCCCATTCATCACCCTGATCATCATCACCAGCATCAGCAGCTTCACCTGCATGCACACTCATACGCAAAGCGCACACACCTCACTGCAAGCAGATAAAAGACAAGAGAGCCTCTGCCAGAAGCAGGCAACTGCAAGTTGCAAAGAAAGAAAGAGGGAATGAGGAACAAAGAGCGAGAAGATCCTGCTGGGGTAGGCAGAAACCCCTGAACTTTGCACTTCCAACAATATATCTCAATAAAACCTCCGTAGACAAATCTGGTGAGTCAGACTTTCGGCTGCAGAGAGAAGAACAACAACGTACAGAGAAGAAGAGAGAGAAACCCTGCGTCCCGTCTAAAACATAAAAGAGCTCTGTATTCGCGTTACAGAGCGCGGAGAATGATTATTTGTATTATCCAACATTTATTATTTTTTTTGCATGCATGTGATTGCATTTTGCATTTTGTGTTTTAGCGACTTAATCTTTGACAATAACCTGAAGTCAGAAACATCAGTGCAGACTCACGTAGTCATGGAAGGCCTTGGCTTCACTGGAGTGTTCACACGTGTCTCTCCTCTCTGGAGCTGCACAGTAAAGGTCCCAGAAAACACTGCAACATACAGAAAGTGATGCAGGGTCAAAAAATAAATATCAGGAGAGGAGGACAACAAACGTAAGGAAAGGTAAAAATGGTTCAGTTTTTAATGTCAGAAAGTAAATAGAGAATGTTTGACATATTTGCTTGAAACAGTTCATTTTAAAGCAAACTTACCACCACCATGAATGGAGGAACCCTGGAGGTTCTCCTAACGTGATATTCTTCTCCCATCGGATCTTGACAGACACAAAGAAAGAGAGAGAGAGATAGAGGTACTTCAGAGACATCCTGTGTATAAAACATGTCTGACATCTGAGTAACATGCTCTAAAAGGTTGAAAAGGGTGCAAGGAAATATCTATAAGATGTGCCATTAGGTAATTATGTTATGAATCTTTTGGATTCAAGAGAGGATAAGTGGGTCTATGTGTGCCCTCAAGCTTATCGACACATATTTGAGCGCGTGCGTGCACAAACGAGTGTGTGCGTGTGTGTGTCTCTTGAGTCAGTGAGTACAGAGCAACAGGTCAGAGACATGTACCAGCCTGAGGAATCCACTCAAATCTCTGAACAACACACAAATCAGGCGGCTTCACGCCGACTTTAATTTCGCTTTCAGATCATTTCAATGTTTAGACTTTCCCAAATGTATGGCCTATTTCTATCCTAGCTTAAATATGTAGTTGGATATTATTTACTTCAGAAATGATCTGAAGGTAATTCATGTTGACACACAAAGACCACAGCTCTGGATCTAAAGAATACAAATCCATGCAACTATCAGTGGCAGACGACTGATAAGACCCGGCACTTATTTTGTCTGAGAATAAGTGCAGACTTTCCCCTCCTAGTAATGTTTTAACAGTGCCAAATAATAAGACTATTGTACCACCTGTTCCACCAGCAGCATGACCAAGCACTAAAGTAACAGGAAAAACTGAATCACCACAGTTTCAGACTGTCCTGACCTCAGTTCTCGATCAGATGATGCAATGGCATGCTTTGAAGTCTTTCTCAGGGAGGGTCAGGAACTGCCTCCATTTGTTTATTCCACATTCTTTCAGATCCAGCACTCAGTTTCGGTGAGTTTGTCTGTCGGCTTGAGATACTGACAGGAAATCTTTCTTAATACTTGGAAAAAAAGTCGTTTTTTTTTTTTTTTTTCATTTTACAGCTTACTAAATATCACAAAATATATAACTGTAGGAGCTTCATCTCAGTCCAAATAAGATTACAGGCAGTTCATGTTAAGACATTCTCTTTCACACTGCCGTCATTTGGAGAACATTTAAAAAAAAGAACGGTGTGTGCCTGGATATCCTTTTTTTTTTTTTTTTTTTTTTTTGTGGTCTGAAATCCTTGGAGATTCTTTCATTTACCTTCAACATGCAACAGTGAGATTCCCTCAGCGTGATTACTGGCAGATGTGGACAGGCGTTGCACGGTTACGGTTCTCTGTTTACCTAAATTGAACTGTCTTGCCCTCCTAAGGTTTAAGTTTACAGTTTAGTATACCTGAGCTACAGGTTAAATTTAAAAGCATTATCTGATTATTTTTCCATGCTGCTGCTATTTTTGGTTGCGATGTCACATGTTAAGTGTGGGCATGAGGGCCTGATTCGCAAATATCATTCAGATGTCTTCGAGGACACACACTGGATAACAAAAGAGAAGAATACACCAGGTAATTTGAGCCACACATTTTCCTTTTGCAATGCACTTCACAGATTTTGGAGTGATTCGTAAGTTAAATTATGTGAGGTTTAGGGCTTTCCAATTTAAGAAACTATATAATAATAATGAACAAAACTAAAAATCAACTGGTTTGATGCACAAGCTCACATCTTTGTTCCTGTTTGTAGTCATAAAAATAAAATTTTTATAGTAATAATCTTAACCTTTTGGTTGTCATTTATCCAAATCGCAACTTTTAATGTCAGCATGCCAGCGAGCACAGAAAGCATTTATGCAGTGAACCTTATTTTGATCATTTTTCTATGTATTTAAAAAATGTTTTAAATGCTTTGGAAAGCATTTTTCTTAATATACACAGTCATCAAAAGTTGGAGAGATTTGTAAACTGCATCAGAAAATATTTGTTTAAAAAATATCAGCATTAGCATGAACAGCGCCTTAAGCAATAAATCCCACTACTCCAAAAAGAGCTGCATTTTACCTAAATGCTTACCCAGTTAATTTGCACTGGTGGGCATGTGAACTGTACATCAGCAGCCGTGTTTATACTTTGTGCATCAATAGCTAATGTGTTCCCACGCTTGAATGTAACACCACCTATCCGTTGCATCTTCTGCTTTTGCAAAACTGTGGATAATTGATATGGCAGAGAGGAAAAAGTGTCAGTGTGAGCAGACACACACCCACACACACACATACACGCATACACACACACATGCACTCATGAAGTCAGAGTGATGAGAGTCAGTGCCAGCTGATGAGGTAACCTTTTCCACCCCCTTCTCTCAGTTGCTCTTGTCCCTCTGGCTGATGTACAACAAGCCTCTAGCTGCTGTCTTCTGCATTGCAATTTGCAATAATTTACTCCCAGAGCAGAATGATCAAGTGGCCTCAGCTTCACCTCGTCCCCTCTTAACCCGGCAGAATTAAAGCGAAAATGAGATTGCATCTCAGAGCAGAAAGAAGAGCCATGAACAGTGTGAAAGGTGGGGTGGGATAAAGCTGCACCCAAAACATCAGCTTTAGGCATCACAAAACTCCTCTCATGCTCCAGTTGAAGCCAAACTAAATGCGGCGTTAAAAAGCCTCTTTGCTGCACCAACCTGCTGGCACAAGCCCAAAGCTGAGCCTATTCACTTCACTATAACGCTAACAGGACATATCTTAAGAGACAACCCAAGAAACATAAAGTCTATGGCCCGCTGCCTGAAAGACACAAACAAGAAAAGCATCTTTGTGACTTACCTCTGAGAGAAACGTCTGTGCTGACTTCTGTGCTCCTACATGCAGCAGGTACTCATACACGTAAAGAGCCAACCTGTGAACAGAGAAACAAGAGAGGATGAGCTTCAGGTTGTTTATGGAGAGTGAAAAAGCTTTTACATGGAGGCAAAACCATTTGTTCTTTTGCATTTGGAAAATACATGGTCACTTATAAAACTATTTATGCCACTGGAACGGGCACATTTTGTCACATTGCAACCACAAATTTCAATTTATATGATCGGGGCTTTTTGGTACAGACCACCAGAAAGTAGTCCGTAACTGCAGAAGTATGTTCGATTGCACCCCTTCGCTCACTAAATAAAATCCAAATGAAACTAAAAGCCTCTAAAAGTCCCCAGATTAGAATATAGGGTCAGTCTATGTGTAATTTGATCTCAGTATAAATGGAGGAGTTATGTGACGGGCTAAGCGGTTTGTCAGAGAACAAACAGCTTCATGGAGACCAAGGAACACAGTAGGCAGGTGAAGGAGAACGATTTAGAGAAATCTAAAGCAGGTTTTAAAACACTCTTCCAAGCTTTTAACATCTTGAGGGGCCACAGTTAAATATCAAATCTACCAACACATGACAGTCAATCCAGACTGGAGAAGAAGGTCAACAATAATCAGAGAGGCTGGCAAGAGGCCTATAGTAACTCTGAAGGAGATCCAAAGATCCACAGGTCACGTATGAGAAAGTGTTGAATGGAGAACTCTTAGTTGTGAAGGCAAAGAAGGCGGCTATGCTGAAAGAAAGGTGCAACAAGTCAGCTATACAGGTGACATGTGTAAGACCCTGAGATCAAAGTTAAACTTTTCCTAGAAACCACACTGTGAGGGTGAAGGTCAGAGCTGAAGGTCAGATCGATGTAGCCAATCACAGGGTGCAGATGTTCTTAGTTTAAAAAGTAGTTTCACAAAGTGTTAACTAACAGAGCTGGCTAAATATACAAGACAAACAATTCATTATTTTATTAAAAAATAGAACAGTGAAAAATTTTCCTCCAGTCAAACTATTATGCACGACTTTGTTTCGATCTATCGCAAAAAAAGCCCTAGAAATGTGTTATAGAGTCAAATGTGAGCAAACATTTGGATAAAAACAAGCCCAGAGTGCAACACGTAGACTAATGGTTAATCTAAAACCAACACATTTAAAGAAAAAACTCAAATAAATGGGGCAGTGAAGATGCTGTGAAGCCCTCATCTGAGTGCCCAGTTGTCTACTTGAATTTCCTCCCACAGGTTGGAACAGAGTGAGTATTAATTACACCCTTGATTTGTAAATCAATGATCCTCCCAGTGAATCTGTGCTGGTCCTTTCTTAAAAGCAATTTAAATGCCTGTGGGACAGGTTGATCCACTAGTCTATAAACAGTACATAAAAACTGTTTGATACAGGATCCACAGCACCTACTCCGTTCTGTTAAAATCTATGTGATACTTTGAATTAATAAAATATTAAAGGGAACAAAAACAATGCTTACTCTAAATCAAGAAATAAGTTAAATGACATCACGCGTTTTATTTCGTCTCACGGAAGAAGATGTTAAATAGCTCTAAATAATCAGATTTCAGATGTGTGGTTCGGTGTTTCAGACTCCTTCAACATGTACGAAAGATAATGTGGGAGTCTGGCTGAGTTGGTGATCAAACTGCCTGCTACAGCATCAGAAGAGACAGAAGGGGAGGTTAGAGCGTTATTTACACCACTTCCATTCTCAGGGCATGTCTATAATAAGCAGGGACATAAAGTTAGACATTAATAAAGTATCTACAGCGCTAGTGGAGAGACCTGCGAGTATGTGTTCATCAAAGTGCTTTTATTTCACAACTACAACCCTCCATACATTCAGTTAGTTTACTTGAAAACTTGCAATATACTAAATGGTGTTTTAAGTTCATATTTAGACTCAATAATTTTGTTATTTTCTACATAAAGTAAGACAATTTGATGGGACGTAAAAGGAAATGTTTTAGACTTTTCAAAGCAGCACAAGCTCTGACCTGGGACTTTTTATGTTTGTCCTTGTGTGTTGGTGGTGATACTGAAAGTCATGAGAGATGTTCACACTGGGACGACATCTGTTCAGGAACCCCCACTGAAAGGTGCTACCAGCTTGGCAACCCTGATCCAGACTCTTGCCTTGAGGTAAAAATAAACTCAGACGACAGGCTGAACATTATCCCGCTTCCCTCACAGGTACAATCCGCCTTCGTCTATCTCTCTCCATCACATTTATCTTCATCTTTTCTCCTCCTCTTTCCTGCTGTTTGTCTTTTTTTTTTGCTGTTTTCCACAAGTTACTTTAATCTTATGCATTCTATTTTTTTTAAAAGGAAGACAGAACAGAAACTATCTTTGTTTTTGTCTTTCCCACTGTCTTTCATTTTCTTATTTCTTTTCCCTTGTGGCCTGGAAGTGATGTTTAACCAAAGAAACAGCGAAAGGACATTTTACAGGGACAAGGTTAACGGAAAAATGAGAGGATTGACAAAACTCTTGACACCTTGTCAACTGAGCATGAATAAAAGATGTGCTCTTTTTTTTTTTTTTTCCAAAGCACTGTACAGCTCAATGTTCAAGGAACAAACGTTTTCTGTCTCTCTGCTCTGCACATCGTTTTCCTGTCAGCCCGTCAAAATCATTTCCCCCTCCTGTGAACCGCAGTGCCGACAACAGCAGCGTCAGTGTAGAACAATTTAACATCACTGATAGAGGTCACATACCTGCAGTGGATACTTTGTCATCAATGATGAGGATGCTGACAGGTTGCATAAATGAATTCATTGCCACCATAGAAAATATTAGGAAACAAAAGCACATCCTTGGAGGGATGCAGTGAAATGTATTTCCACATAAAAACACATCTCTGCCTTGGAGGCAGACTAAGAGGTTTAACCTGTAATTGATTTCACAGAGTCTCTGGGATGTGACCTTTGCAATTATGATGGGCGAGAGGAGATGGATGTGAAGGAAGTCAAAACAGGTGAGGCCAGAGGTATGGATCATTCTGACACAGTAAAATAAATCAAAACACTAGTGAAGCAGAAATAAAAGATTAATGCAAGCTTAAAGACAAAGGTCAAAAAGAGAAATAGTAAAGATGGACTGAAGTTTTGATGGATCTCAGATTCGCATGACTCACATGTTGTGGTCATGTTGGCACTCTGTGAGTTTATTTACGCAGCTTAATAATCACGACAGAAGTGGGAGAAAGAAGAATACATAATGTGTGATTTTCCAGGGTTCAGTCTCAGCCTGAAGACTAAAGAGTTTAACTTTAGAGCTGAGCCACGGATCACACCGGCTGGCGTCAGGCGCTCCACACTGAGCCCGAAACATATTCATCATCTCTGAGACACAGAACCCATCTCCTTCCTGAGAGACATCTGGACATTACCTGGTGTTTATACTCACCGTTTCAACAGACGAAAGGAAATTTGGAAATTCTTCCTGATATTGTATCTGATTTCTTTCCATTTTCTCATGATTTCAAATTAAAGAAGAAGTCTGTTTGAGGTATGGCCTTGAACTGCAGTCAGGTGGATGTACTTCGCTAAAATATTCTAAATTGAACACCATTACATGAGATTTCCTAAACTGTTTGAAGTGTATGTAAACTTCATCATTTAATTCTCCAAACAAGTTTTTCTATAATTATTTTAGGATTCTAAAAAAAAAAAAATCCCAATTTTTTGCCTGCTACAATATTGTCAGAATCTGAGCTTTCAATAGTGGACTCAAACCATTTCTTCCTTTAGTCTTTCTTTTTTCTAATTTAGCACAAGCTAACAATACGAGGAGCTGATGCAGGACTGATGAACAGAAAGTTACAAAGCAGTATACTTTGCTAGCATCCTGTATCTTCCAAACTTTACTTAAACCTTTTAATATTTCAGTCGAAAGCAATACGACGCCCTTTGTGGTCCTTGTTGATCTGGCCCTTGTTAAGGTCAACCCTCCACACCAAGAGGAAAAAATAAGCACATGGAGTTGGACTAACAAAGATAAGGTTTAAGGACAAGAGAAGGGAGAGACATAGAATGTTAATAAGCTGCAAAATGTGGACACATTAAAAGGAAAACAATTATTCTAGTACATTAAGCAAATGATCAATCAATTTTCTTAGCAAGCAACAGGGTTAAACTGAAGAATGCTTGTCTGTAATCTGTACAAGCTCTATAGGGCTTTATGTGCTACCTAGATCTTGTGGAAGCACGTCAACGTTTTTATTATTGCCCGTTCATCCATGCAGTTTGTAACAGACTTATTTTCTCTCAAATTACAGTAGTCAGGTTTTTAAGGAATATCCTCTACCCATCCCTTAGCAGTAAATCTGACCACACAGCTGCAGGGAGCTGAAACAGTCGGAGTTGATCTTAGTTTAAAGGATGCGGCTTGCAAAAACACTAACTTGCTTCTGCGCTGGGTTGTTTTGAGGCCAGTGGGCCGCTTTTGCTTTTACTGAAAGGTTGTGCAAAGAGATTTTGAAGCTCAACCACAGCGTCAGCTTAAAGCAGATACATGAACTTCTTTTCCCAGGATCAGCATTTAAGGAGACCAGTAGATCACTGCTAATCAATTTACCGCTGAGGCAATCAAAGTCTGGCAGCACTTCAAATCACAACGGGCATTTGCTTCAGTGATTGGATTCGCCTATTATAGATTAGGCCCGGATTATTTCACCCTTGTTAGAGATGAAATGGAAAAGCGCTTATCTGAATCGACATGTTAAGTGACATATTTACAGGACCTGCCACTATGCTGACATAAGAAAATGTAATTAAATGCTTAGTGTAAGCAAGAAGAAAAACAACAAAAGCCTGGATACAGATTTGGAACAAAAGCAGCATAAAAACAAAAATCTTTCTGAGCAGGCTGAAATCCTATCAAACATTAATGTTGAATCACACGTCTGTAACCACGCTGAATAAGTCATAGTAAGTCATTTGAAGTTTAGTCTTTTTTACCAGTAGTAAGGGGAAATGATCTGTTCCTAAAGTAAGTCCTTTTTCCAATCTGTTCACCATTGCTCCCCGCATCCTTCA